GAATTATTATTTTTTTTTTTCAAAGTTGAAAATCTTTCCAATGACCCTGTTTACTCACGTTCTTAATGGTTCGTTCACGAATCAGACTTCTCCTGTGCATCCTTTGTGAACTGCTTCTCAGAAGTCAGTCAGTCTAGGCAGCCATAGTTGCAGCCCTTTGACATAAACTGAGGCCAAAGACATGATGGAAATGCTCACATTCTCAGAATCAAAGATCTGAGCTCATCTCATTGGTGAGTCTCTTGTGTACCCTGCACTGGTTTATTCTCTCACAGATAAAGAGAAGCAGTGCTTTGAAAGTTTTTTATGTTCCACATGACCAATCCCAGGATCAGTCATTTGTCTCAGACAGGAAGTTAGTGTTACAGGGGCGAACACTCAGGGGGGAAACAGTGGGAGATAAAAGTGTACCTCATACATAAATATTCATGTCAGTAGTGGATGAGGGTTGAGAAATTGAATCTCATTCCAGTGACTCACCATGTGACAGGCGCTAGATCTGCAGAATCAATGTGTTCGTAGGGCTTTCAGTAATTATGCCCTTAGACCAAGCAGAGGACTGGTGGGAGCAATGGCCCATCATCTCCATGAACCAGACAAACTACGAGGACGGGCAGAATAAAATTTTCAGGCTTGAATGTACAGAATCAACCACAGCAGTGCACGCAGTCTCTGAGGAAATACCCATTAGAGATCATTGTCCGAGATGACAGATTGCATCAGTGATTGTTTTGTGCACTTCATTGTATTCTGGTTTAAACCAGTATGAATGAAAAGGACCAGTATGAATCAATCTATCTATCTATCTATCTATCTATCTATCTATCTATCTATCTATCTATCTATCTATCTATCTATCTATCTATCTATCTATCTATCTATCTATCTATCTATCTATCTATCTATCTATCTATCTATCTATCTATCTATCTATCTATCTATCTATCTATCTATCTATCTATCTATCTGTCTGTCTGTCTGTCTGTCTGTCTGTCTGTCTGTCTGTCTGTCTGTCTACACATGAAACAGAGAAAGACAGAAAACTTAAATGTAAAGACCGGCACGTAGGTCAACCAAAACTGCATTTTAATTCAGATGCAGCCCTGTAACAGAAGCAACATCTTTCAGTCACTCAGATGAAATGTCAGGTCATATAGATTACATAGTAAACAGTTATGTTTTTTCAGTATATTCAAGGGATAGCCCTAAACATTTCTAAAATGGACATTAACTTTGTGTGTACTGCTTTGCATACTTCATTAAAGAACAGCTTAGGAGCACATTTAACTTTTTAACAATATGGATAAAGTATAGATATATATTTGCATTAGTTCATACAAGCAAAAGCTTTTGTCATATAAACATCATCATTAGTCCAAAGTGAACAAGAGAGATGAATAATGCCTGCAAGCTTAACATTAATAAATAAATAAAAAACTATAAGTGCGAATTTAACAGTACAATCATAAGCAAATAATGAATAAATCAAAGTACAATTAAATTAACCTTCACCAATGAGATCAGTTTAGTGTATCTTTATTAAATGTCATATGTATACAAATACACTACACAAAAATAGTATTTACATTACTGTTTTAAAGACAGCGTATCTGCCATGTGGTACATATCCTAATGTAAACTCACTGTAAACAAAATGAATTGCATTTTACACTCATAGATAAGAACAAGTAGCAATACTGAAACATGAAAAGAAAAAGATAAGCCCTTGAATCTGATTAGTTTCTCAGTCCACATTATCATTTTCTAACTTCAAATTAATCATAACCTCATAACAATCAGACTTATCTCAGGCTCAGTCCATTAATCACAGTCAATACCATTTCTCAACCTCATTTCTCCCATAATTGAAATTAGGTTGTGCGCATAATTTGGAAATTTCTGACTGGAGTATAAAATGCAGTGAGTCAGTAAGTGCTTCATATTTGTGAATATGCTGTGATTTTTGGTCCTAGTCAATTCTTGTGCTTATGTCTATATGTGAAACGAACTGACATATCTAATATTCATGCATCAACTGATTTAGCAATGAATCATTCATTGATAAAGAATGCATTTGAATAAATTTCATCCACTGAATTATATTGCCCGGTTATCTAGACATTGTTGTTCCACTCTTTCTGTTCTGGCTCGTACTTTTCTGAACAGTTCTGTATTGCAGCACATACAGTATTCTCTTTGTAAGTCGCTTTGGATAAAAGCATCTGCTAAATGAATTAAGATAAATATATCACTTTTTGCATTATATTCATATAATTTGAAATTTTAAAAATGTATATTAATCACACTGGTGTTGATAATATATAATGGAACTTGGCATACATGACAATACTGTACACATAGAGAGCCAGATAAGCCTAATAGAATAGTTTTTCTGTAGAATAATATATTTAGTTTTGTCTCTCAAGTTCATATAGACGTTGAAGCCATAGTAAAATGCAATGCTCAGCCTGGGACCTCGACAAACAAGTGCAATCGACCACCCGCTCTCCTAATACAATGTGTCTGTATACTGAACAGGCCGGTGCGGATTCGGTTAACTAGGTCACTTGAACCCTCGATCTTAATTTGCCGAGCAGAACTTTGATTTCTGGCAGCTCAACAAGGCCCCCACAGAAACGGGCTCATTCAATCGCTGGCTGTTTCCAGGCACCTGTTCAGAGGTGAATGTGTGCAGCTGAGGATTGGATTAGTTGACTTATTCTTGCTCAAAGTGCCTGAATCAAATCAATCAGAGCCCTTTCCTTCCCTGTTCCTCATCTGGGACTTCCTCGGTATTGCAGCAGATGAAAGACTTGCTGCCTGTTCCCTGGCTGTTTCCAACAAAACACCACAACAGCCTTTGATGGACCTCCGAATTTGGCAGGAGAGTGTGTGCTATGGGATATTTAAAGGCTTTACAGTGCAGAGTTATAGTCTATACTTTATTTATTCTCATGCTTCTTCTTATTGTAGCTTTAGTGAGTGATGGAAGAAAGGAAAAGAATAAAAAAAAAAAAAAAACTACCGTGAATAATTTGCAAAAGTAAGATTTCACGATGCACAAACAAGCAGTTATGGCACTGCTCACTGCTCATGCACACAACATACAACAGAATGACTGAGAAGCATGGAGGAGAAAGAAATTTTACCAGGCAGTGAGGCTGACAGGATCCGTCTTAGACTAGAGTTATTCCACATGATCTGGTTCTCCTGCAATCAGAGGGAAGTGCAGGAGCAGGTCAAGTTCTTTGGGTTGATATTTCCAGGTTTACGCATTGCTGAATTAACTCAATTGGATACAACAAAGTTCATCGACCTGTTTACAAAAACCTCACAATGCAACATCCTGTTAGCATCAAAGACAGCAATGGGAGGGGAAAATAAGAATGAATAGAATGAGGAAAGAAAAAGCTTTATTTTATTTTCATCTCCACAATTACCACTCCATTAGAAACATTCTGTCTCGAACATACTATTGAATAAAACAAAATAAATCATTATATTTAAATAAATAATGCTGAACACAACAACTTCAACCAGCTACTTCTTGGCACAATGTACTGTATAATCTGCATAAATATATTGGCAATGGTATAAATATACTTTTATAGTCGTATCTGTTTGGGGCGAAAAAAATAAAATAAAATGCACCTTCTGTACGACACATTTGTAAAAGTGCAAAACAACCTTACATGTGGCAGCAGATACACCAACTGATGACATTTTGACAAATATTTCAACATGCTCGTATGCATTTGAGAGTACACATAAAAAAGTAATGCCGAATGTTACGCAAAAAGGAGACCAAACACATATTTTCAAAGACACAATTTGTGTCCAAGCCTCCATGTTTTTTAACAGTGTTGCTCATGGCATGACAATGCTACCTCCGCATTATTATATATTTTCAGTAATGTGACCATCGCTGCTAATACTCTTCTGACTCCATGGGCCCTATTTTAACGATCTGAAACGCAAGTATCAAGCGCAAAGCGCAAGTAACTTTGTGCGCGGGTCTTGGGCGCTGTTGCTATTTTACCCGAGGGATAAATGACTCTTGCGCCCGATGCAAGTTTAAAAGGGGTTGGTCTGAAATAGCTTCATTATTCATAGGTGTGGTTTGGGCGTAGGAGACCGACGTTCTTGTCAGGGCAGTGAAAGACAGAGAAGTCACGTTGTATGGGGATGGGAGATTTTTTTTTTCCTGGTTCTTGACGGACAAACTAATTGGTCAGATGTCCTTATATACATATGTGCCTTATATACATAACAGGTCTGATCCGTCATTACTACAATTAGCCTGAAAAATTTGGGTAAATGTGTAAGCTAGATTTAGGCCTACATTTTTTTACATCTTCATGGACACCACAATGATTTCCCTCATGTGTTAATATTTTTCCTTGTTATAATGTATGATTTGCAAAAATAAAAACTGCTGCATCTGTGTTAATGAGAGAATCAAAGTGTTTCCGCGTTGTGCACCCGCTACAATATGGCCAAGCATGCGCGCTTAAAATAGCATTATGAACAACGCGCAACGCGCCACTGACTTTAGACTAGGTTTTTTCTGGTCAGTGGCGGAACTGTTTTCTGGAACTGCAAAATAGCACTAGGGAATGTTTGCGCCGAAACACGCCTCCTTTTTGCGCCGACCCGCCCAGGGAGCGCATGTTCATTTCCTAGTTTACCAACGTGCGTCTGTGGAGGGAAAAGCCCGCTTTGCGCGGGTGCAAAATAGGAATGATACATGCGTCAGTGTACAAAGTCATTTGCGCCGGGTGCAAAATAGGGCCCCATATTTCAAGCGTCATTTGTTTAGTTGCTTGACCGAGGTGTTTTATAATGAGAAAACAAAAGGCACAGTCTCAAGCCCAGTGTCTTCATGCCACCATCATCAAATCAATATCACACCCAACTAATTTCAGTATATTATTTCAGATAAGAGCATCACTCTGTGTTTCATACTCCACGGCAGCCCTTTAATATCTGGGATCGATAATCCGCTATGTTTCATTTCTGTAATGTCTCATCTCTCCAAAGCCATTCTTTCCGTACACATTTATTAGATCTTATTGCTATTGATCTAAATCTTTACGTGTGCCAATTCTTTACATCTGTTTCCTTTTACCTTGCCATTGACAGAACACAAACACATCATTGTTAAAGTGGATATAAATTGTGGTGAACGTTTCCAAGTGTCCCTGGCCTCACAGTCAGTGGATGTTATCGTGAGAGCGTAACATGCTCACCCCTGTTGTGCCTCCAGTCCACTAGGGGCAGTGTGGAGAGTCCTTTCATGAAAATAATCACTCGGCTCTCTGCCACTTGCTTTGAAGCATTTTCAGCCTCTTACACAGTCACCTCAGTCTTACTGTTGGTTACAAAGTAGGGTTGCGTTGGTAGGTAATGATGACTGCGGGCAGTGTGTAGCTCATTAACTCGCTCCATCGTGCACACCTTCCTAGGGCCGTAGGTTTTGCGGCGACCCGCAGTCTCTGCGTTCTCCCAGCTCCTGAGCATGCCGGGGTTAGCGATTGTATTGGAGCTGTAGGCCATCGCGGGATGGGCCACGTTGGCTTTAATGCTTTTGGGCTTCTGTCCATTTTGCTTGAGGCACGGGACCTCAGTGACATAAGAAGCTGTGGGCTCCACATGCTCCATTCTGACTGAATGAAGCGGCAGGCTTCCCTTAGCCGCCAACTCGACCAAGTGGCGGTGTTGCTTGTTGAGGAAATCACCATTGGCTTTGGCCGCTGATGAAAAGATAGAGAGGAAGAGTGAGGTTAGTTCAAGCTCAAGGTAGATTGCAATTATGTGAATTAGTATTCTTCAGATAGAAGAGCGTAATGTACCCAATCCAAAAAAGCATTACTTGAAATTATGCTACAAAAATTGCCTATCACAGGGAGCTATTGAGGAAAAAGTAAAATAGATGCTATTACTCCTAAATTAAAACATTTTATTGGACTGTTTTGGCACAACAGAACTTGGTTCTATTCATCGGTTGTTGATATGATGGAGGCAGATCTGAATGTGAGCTTGAGGTCTATTGTAAGAAAGGGGTCGAGTTTAAGCAGGCATACTTAGGGGCTGTTTACACAACACCGTTTTGCACTAAAAACGTAAAACTTTTAGTTCTGTGGGGAACAGCTCTTGAAACACACCCAGTTCACAGTTGGTTCTTTAATCCCTCAAAGAAGAGTAGTGTCAGCTGTCTTACCTCGCCTTCTTGAAGTTAAGCAAAAACAATTACCACTGAACACAATTTGGGTAAAGGAGACCAGATTGACTAGGCGACGATATGGAAAAACATATTTTGTGCATCAAAAAATCCAAATCACCAATTTATTAATTTCAAATTTTGTCATAGATTGTACTGGACACCAAAGAAACGTTCCATCATTAAAAATCATCTCCAAATCCTAACTGTAATTTTTGCCCCTACCAACAAGTGGGAACATTCATGCACATGGTGTGGAAATGTGAGAAGGTTTCTGAGTTTTGGTAAAAGATTACATCAGTACTGTCTGATATAATAGGAAAAGATATACCAGTGCAACCAGCTGTGCTCCTTCTAAATGATGATTCCAATTTAGGTTTCACTGAGCTACAAAGAAAGATCTGGTTGGCAGGTCTAACATCTGCCAAAAAGATAATTGCGCAAAGATGGCTCCCTCCCAATAATTTATCTGTGCGACACTGGCCATTTCAGTTTCATTATATAGTAATGTTATAACTTTTAACGGCTAGAATAAATAAAGCCAGAGGCTCAACCCTTGAGCAACCTGCTGCAGATGAACTGACAGGAAAGCTTTAAGATGGAATAATTTAATTTGGGGGACAATTTGAACTTGTAAACCTCTGATGATCTGTGTTATTATACTTATCCTAAGTTTCTCATATTGCAGTCTGTATCTGTGTTTTGTATTTATGTATGTAATTTTTTTTTCAGGTAATTTTTTTTTATTGCAATTTTATTACAAAGATCAGTGGCTTGGACCTGGGGGACCGCTGGGGGGTTGGGGGGTTCAGAGGGTCAATTTTTGTTCTGTTTATTGTGAAGAAATCTTTGGGTAATTGTATGTGATCCCATCTATGAAAAATAAATAAAAAATTAATAAAGTACTAATAAAGTAAAACGTTTTAATGTGTTGGCCATTCGTTTACACAAGCTTTTTGGGTGCCTGAAAATGCAAAGTTTTGAAAACGTGTTTCAAAGTGCACGTTTTTGAAAACGGTCTCCGTGTAAACAACAAAAACGGAATCTCTGAAGACGATGACGTCATGCACATGCGTATTACGTGTTCAATCTATAGTGTTTCATCGTCATCTAATGGCCTGGCAGCAGAATACTGAGTTTTTAGTCATTTTCACGGATCCGTGTGAATGGGGATCGTTTTGACAATGGTGTCGTCTGTCTGCGAAAAACTTCTCCGTTTTAAGCATATCGTTGTCTTGTCTGTCATTTCAATGGAATATCGAGTTGATCAATGACATTTTGACGATGAACTATGAGCTCAAATTTAAATAAATAAAATAAAACATGCATGGATGAATGGTGCACAATAAGATCAATAGCAATCATTTAGAAATTAGATAGGGGGAATTTCCATTTTATGACAACATATTGGACATAATCATCCAGTCGAAAATAGCCATTACAGTTGGTACACAGTGCAATTGTAAAGTTAGTATCCCACCTTTCCTGCAGAAACATTAGCATCTGAATCCAAGAGTTTAACACACACTAGCAGTTAAGGTTTTATCTGTTTAGCAGTTAAATCTGTGGTCAGTGTAAGTAAGGCCTGTCGCGTTCCTCTGGGTTATGTGTCCTTTAACCAGGTGATTCATGTTTGTAAGGGGATCATTACTCTTAAGAGTACCGGGCATCCTAGTGTGACTTCCTCAGTCTGCTTTTGATGGTCGGCTGCTTTGACGACCTTGAAGATCAACTTTTCACGCTTAAAACGAGTTTGGTCTGCGGTGTGATGATAAATCTTATTTATTGCTCGTCTGCCCCTGTGGGAGAAGACGGAGACGTTGTGCGCGGCGGACATTTTTTCACAGTTGCACTGCTCCCTGTATCAGATACATGGATCATCACAACAGACGGGTGAATCAATTACAGTGCTCAACAGTGCACATCCTCAAGAGCCATAATCAAGATGAATCGTGGTTTTGTAACTAGTGCCCCCAGACAGAGTTCAAATATCTATCGGCTCGAAACTCCGTGACTCCACGCATGGAGTTAGTGTCATCAGGATCTCAAAGGGTTTTGGTTGGAGGATATTCTAGCTCCACTTCTCTATGTCGGGTGGAAATCCAATTCTGTGACCTTAGAGATGTATTTGGGGACTGTGAGAGAGAAGTATTGATTTGTAAAATTGGGACTTATCAGCTCTAACAATTCTGTACCTTTGGGAATTTTCATGGAGAAGGCAATTAAATAAGAAAAAATAACCATGATGCCAGAGGCTCTGCTCGATGATCTCATAGTATACATCATCCATGATAAGGTGAAATCAGAACATTTAGCTGTCTGGTAGGGAGGAAGCTTGAAGTGACTTCACAGTATAAATGATATGCATCAGTGAGACTCTCTTTAGGCGTCACCACATTGATTGAAAAATTCTCATGTGATTAGTTGGAGAAACAATAGTAGCAACATACTACAGTTAAACCATGGCATTACATGTTTGCATTTAGCAGACACTTTTATCAATAGCAACTTCAACACAGGGTTATAATAGTCTTACATTTTTAATTTTGTGCACTATCATTGTTGGTTTTAGTTTGGTTATATATTTTATTTAGTTTTTATTTTAAATGTCTTTAAATGTAAAGACATTTTAAAAAGTTTTAACACCTTTAGAATTTCAGTCTAGTGCTATTATATCTAGAGGCATTTTCACATTTAATACAAGGGGGTTGTAAAGATTTCAAGTTTTCTAATATGCCATTTCATATTAAAGCATATTTTATCTGATTTAGTCTTGAAGTCATGCAAATTTATTGTAGTTTAGTTTCAGTTTTCCCAGTTATGTTTATTTTAATCTCTGTATGTACACTCATCGGCCACTTTGAATGTGAAATGAATGTGAAAATGGATTTTAATGATGAAATAGAATAGATTATTTACAAAAATTACAGTTGCCAAGTGCATAGGCTTTCTAGCATTAATATTAGGCTATAGCAACATTTAAGTAAAGGACAGTCTGTTTCGGACATTTGATTGGCACATTTGACACATTAAGCTACGAACTTCCCGTGCCACAAAGAATGCAACTGAGTAGTCTAAAGGTATGAGATTTTTTTTTTATGTTTAGGGGGCTAGATAACTGGTAATAGTCAGTTGATTACTTCACTGTATTGTTATTGTTTATCACCGGCTTCAGTTCAGGCTGTTCTAACTTTTCATAAAAGTATGCATCGGTTAAAGGGGTTGCGATGAGTTTGTGTTATGTGACGGTGTCGCAATGAGTGTGTATTTCATAGTAAAGCAGACACAATTAATTACTTTTGGTGTAGTGGTGATAGCATAGTAACCTGTCTGTATTCATGGCAAAACTGCTGAAATTGTAAATCAAAGAGTCAAAATGTTGAATATGTTGGCCTGGGCAATTTTCCTTTCTGTTTTATGTAGTGATATTATTCAATGCTCTGCCATCTGTATTTGCTCAGTAGATTTTAGTTTCATAGTTGTTGTAGCGATAGGTTTGTTTACGGTCTGATAAATACGTGAATGGGCCATATACTGTAAGTTTTTAAAATCTGGGGATAGTTTGGGTTACATCACCGCCCCCTTTTGTTACTTCATACACCCTTTCTTTGGTGCTCAACTGGTGCCGGCTCTGCTTGAACATGACAATGAGTTTACTAAACTCAAATGGCCACAATAGTCACCAGATCTCAATCCAATAGAGCACCTTTGGGGAGTGGTGGAATGGGACATTCGCATCATGGACGTGCAGCCGACAAATCTGCAGCAACTAACATTGATATTACTTCAACTTCAACATTGATAATAATAAGAAATGTTTCTTGAGGAACAAATCAGCATATTAGGATGATTTCTGAAGGATCATGCGACACTGAAGACTGAAGTAATAGCTGCTGAAAATTAAGCTTTGCCATTTCATATATGAATGTATGTATGCATTATACACACACACACACACACACACACACACACACACACACACACACACACACACACACACACACACACACGCACATATATATATATACACCTGTATGTATTTAAGTTTTCCTAATGAGATATATTTGAAAACACCCAAGTGAACTGTAATGAGGTACAGTGACTCTCTTTCAATACAGATCCAGTGATAAAACAGCTCTCAAAGCCACTTATTCTGGGATTCATTAATCATTTGTAAAATATTCTGCGGTAAATGCTATGTTCAATAAGAGGAATAATTTATGAGTTTTGCACAGGAAAGATCCACATGAGAGTATAACAATGACATGCTAAAAATGATCCTTTCGAGTGTATATCCTTACCCACGGCCTTCAGTGAGGCGTATTTGTTGAGCTCTTTTGCCAATTGCTGTTGCTCATAGACATGGGGCAGCTGGTTGAGGGCTGGATACTGGTGCGTTTGCATCATGTTGTTTATCTGGCCGCCTTCTGCAAACAAAACCAAACATTGTTAAAGGGTTGCATCATTATTTTGTCTTAATTTACAGAATTTTTTAGTCATCCCATATAATATGTCTTGCTTACTGCTGACTAGTGTCACTTGGGATTCAATTGCCACCAATAACAAAAAAGAAACAGACACCTAAAGGCTCTAAAACTTTTTGATCATACAGTAGGTCGCAGGCAGACGAAAGAAGAATCCAACTGAATGGATCTGATAATGAGCTGTGCGATGTGTGTATGCGGCTAATGTCACAACCCGGCCCAATCTGCCTCCTGTGATGTGACAGTCAAAGAATAAGCGATGGTATGTATATACAACCGCTCTCATTGATTTCCTCCCTTGACTTCCTCCTGTTCATAGAGATGAATTGTCAGCGGTGAATGACGATCAAAGAGGTGTAACCTGCGTGGCAGAGCTGTCAGCGCAGAGCTCCTGTTGTGACTAATTAATCACTTAGCCCTGCAGCAGGGTTGCTGACACACGTCTGTACGGAGCGCCACGCAGTGAGTCATACCACACCAGACATCACACAGATTACTGCTCAACAGAGCTTCTGAAAAACACTATAGACTATACTGTACACCCATTAGCACTTAGTACGCTTCTTTTCTCTAATGTTTTTGTCAAATAATAACAGATTATTTTCCTTTGTTTTGCCGAAGCGTGTGGAAAGTATAATTTATTTGCTAACAGAAGTACATCGTTACATCCTTTTATGTAATGTTCCAAATTGGATGACTCAGGGAAACGGATACTGAACACTTTGAGTGCACCAGTGGTAAAGTATTTGAGTAAATGTCATTAGTTACTGTATCAAGGATATTAGCAACTTTTACTCTACATTTTTGAGTATGTACTCTTTAATCCAATACATTTGTAATGAGTAATGTAATTATGCATTACATTTTGCATGGCACCTATCTTTTTCTGCAGCAGTTTTTTTCTTCTGTTTTACCCTTACTCACCCAAACTTGTCAACAAGTCTAGTTTACACAAATGTGAGTGTATTAGTTGGTAGCTGCTGGTTCGCAAGTGTTTTATATTTGAGATGAGGACATGGCTGCTGATGAGGCCAAAACCAGCACGTCCACTGCAAGTGGGCTTTGACTTTTTAGGCTTTAATTAGAGTTAACATTATTTTATGTATCCATAATATTGAAGAGACCATTTTGAAGGATATTGGTTCACTTATGTCCTTTTTGAGCACTTGAACTTAGTAATGGCTGCTCAAAATTCAGCTTTGACATCAAGGAATTTTCCGTCACATGAATAAATTACATTTTAAATGTAATGCAATAGAAAACGGTTATTTTAAGTTGTAATACTATTTAAAAATATTACTGCATTTACTGTATTTTTGATCAAATGTAGCTTTGGTGAATATAAGTGACTTCAATTCAGTTAGCGGAGCGATTATACATGCCCTTTAAATACTTAAAATCTTATTTTAATCCAGTTTTAAAAGACAGTTTTAAACTGTTTATTGTGTCTTTTTAATTGATTTTTGAATTTTTTGTTACATTTTTCGTTTCATTACTTAAAAAAAGTAATATTTTCATTCATTTGGTATTTATGTGTACAGTAAATGTTTTGTAAGTGTTCTGCCAAAGTCGAAACATTGAAACATTGCGGCTATTGGCATTTAATCTTTAACGGGCAAAGGGCATAGGTCAGCAAGACATTAAGTGAGATGAGTGTCCTCAGATCTGTGACCTCCTCTGTGACCTCAGGCAAACTGTAAGAGGCGAGCTGAGCACATACTGTAATGACGTGAGTGGGGAGCCGTAGCACACCAAGTATGTGTTTCAAGGTTGGCAAGATCAAAAAGAAAAATAAACTCCATGAAGCCAGTCAAAGCGAATATACAATAATAAAAATGGAGAGATAAACACCTCTTTTTTGAAGGACATTTGTCGTTTTTTTGGGCCAAAATGTTCCTGTTAAGTATACATGCTGTTCATTTTGTACACCACAGATTTTTCGGCCTACTCTTTTGAAAATTTGACAGAAGTAGCAGTAAGTGGGAGTGATCCCATGCTTGGTTCTATTCAATTTCCTGGGTATCTTAGTGTTTGTTTTGTTTTGTGTAAGAAGCTGACTCATTTCCACTGGGAGAACTTCCTCCCAAGTGTTTGGTTGCAAATTGCCTTTACACCATCTTCTCCTTGTGCTATCGCTCTCGTCATGGCAACACACGCGTTCATGCTCTGTTTGCAGTGCATGCAGCCAGCCTCTTGTATGGGTTCCACCACCCACATGCTAAGCGAGCTCAGTGTTTGCAATTGATGGACCTTCGGTGTTTGTTCCTGTGTTGTTAAATACCCCATCTCCACTAGCCCGCTGAACAAGGAAACATTAACAAGCCCATTAATTAGCAATTGTTATCTGACACTGAGGAGAAAGATGGTTTTGCTGGGATCACATCGAACTTTGTTATTAGTGGACTGCAGTGTGATCTGCTACGATGGACAAGGTTTAAAAACGAGGATATAAAACGCCCCATAACTACGGTGGCCGAGAGAGCTCAACGCGCTGCAACTGAAGAAAACACATGCAAATAGAAAACAACGCGTGCAAATAGAAAAAAGCACATGCAAATAAAATAAAACGCATGCAAATAGAAAAAAACGCGTGCAAATAAAAAAAACACCCGCAAATTAAGAAAACATCTTCATCAGTTTCACAACACACGTGTGCTCCAAATACTCACAACACCACCCAAATACAGAAACGCGCTGCAAATAACACAGAGCACAACGGAAATGTTTCCACGGGGAACCAAATAAGTGACGAACCCGGCTGGGACGTGCTGGCATAGATATCCATAAATCTATGCGTGCTGGTGCTTACAGCTTAAAATTATACTTTATTTATTTGTTTATTTATTTATTTGTTTGTGCAAAACATACAGAGATTACATTTTTTTATGACATACAACTTGTATACAATGTACAAAATGTATTAACAATGTGGTCAATGTCATCAGAATACAAATGAGAAAAGAACAATGAGCTGGAAACTAAAATAAATAAATAAAAAAGATAAAGAAGAAAAACATGAAGGAAAGATATTTATCTATAGATCAGTTACACTCTACAAATTGTTTCATGTTATTACATTTTCATAAAGAAAAGTTTCGTAAGAAATGTTAGGTAATGTAGGGTCCAAAATGTTAAAGTTGAGACACAGACATATAACGCATATTTTAAAAGCTTTTTTTTGTAAACTAAAAATAAAAATGTATTTGCATCCGTTATGTTAACAGCATCATATTTCTGTCGTAAGACCAGCTGATGGACACCGTGCTGCGTTGTCATGGGAACATCCCAGGTGAAAATAATGAGGAAATTACGTTGTCTTTAGTTGCTCCCTTCATCAAGTGCGCTCCACACGGCTGCCTAACAGCACACTAGAGCCTTGCTCACTCCAAAAGGGCTCTGCAATCTCCCCTTCGAAGGGAGTATGGCATAGGGAAGCTCACGAGCAATAAGCACGTCTCGGCCGGGTTCGTCACTTATTTGGTTCCCCTGGAAACATTTCCGTTGTGGTCTGTGTTATTTGCAGCGCGTTTTCTGTATTTGGTTGTGTTGTGAACTTTTGCACCGCGTTTCCTTATTTGGAGCACACGTGTGTTGTGAAACTGATGAAGATGTTTTTTTTTATTTGCAGGTGTTTTTTTCTATTTGCATGCGTTTTTTTCTATTTGCACGCGTTTTTCTCTATTTGCATGTGTTTTCTTCAGTTGCAGCGCGTTGAGCTGTCTCGGCCACCGTACATAACAGCCCACAGCGGATCATCCCTTAGTATGTTTGTCAGTCAAAGTTCAACGGTAACAGTGGCGTATCTGGTTGTATTTTATTCTACTTTAAGTGACACATCGCTAACAGCTGTGTGCTGGACAGCTTTTGATGTCATCTATATATCTCTATATATATGCTTTGAGGGAAGGGTGATACTTAATGAAATGAACTGTAAAACTTAATCCTGAGGAAAAGATTCAGTGAGACGACAGCTTACAGCAGTTGCTGTTTTCAGCAAATGTGAAGAGAGATCACATAATCACTGATTTCTAAGAGTGGTGACAGCCGAGTTGATTACAGAGTGTTTTTTTTTTGAGGGGGTAATTATTAAGATTATATATATACACACACACACACAGTTATTAATTTAAAATTAATGATTGGTATTTGGTTATTGGAAATTTGTTGATAAGTTATTGGTAAATCTTCATGTTTAATAAAATCATCATATTCATGCTGAAAAAGTTTGACTAAGTTAAAATCAGTCAATTGGCTTATTTTATATTCTAGCTTGTCATCATTTTAACAAATGTTTTTATTTGTCACACTTGGCTAGATCAGAAATTTGAATATACATCATCAAAGATCACAAGCAAACACTAATCACCATTATAGTGACTTTAAAACAATTACAGTGGTAAACAATTACATTTCTTACAGTGGCATGGTTAAAGACAACTATATAAAGTGAACTCACAGTAAAACAAGAGCAGCAAATTACTGTGATGTTCGTCATTCTGCTGTTGATTAACAAAAATTTGTTAGAAAATTACACAGCATTCAATGATTACAGATTACACAGTAGATCTGGCTGTGGTAATTTATTGTAAAATAATACTCTTCAATCCTGTAAATTTCTAGCAATTTTTTACTAATTAAAAAACAACATGGTATTTTATGATCCCTCTTAAAATTATAAACAGTTTTCAAGGTATATGTAAACTTATAATCACAACTATACTCTTTGTGCAGGGACAAATTTGATTACTATTTTACTGACTTGATTAACTTGACCGATACTATTTGGCACTATACAACACCCATTCAAACAGACAGATAGCAGCAGCCAGATAGAAGTATAAGTTGCTCTGAATAAGTTAGGTCACAATTCATTTTGAATGTGAGAAGAGAGCACAATCCTGTGAAACTGCTGCATATGAGCGATAGAAAAGCAGTGTGTGTGT